CGTCTGAAAGACGGGGGTCATCTAACAAATTATTGATTGGTAGTCTATATGTTGTTTAGATTCAATGTTATCATTATGATGACCATGATGTTCATGGTCATCTATGTATTGTCATGATAATATATTGATTATTCAATTCTTAGAACGTTCTAGAAGGTGACCATGACCACTTTCGTTATACATTGTATTCAAATCATATACATTGAATTGTTTGATCCAGTCCCAGTCCCCCTTCCCTTAATCAACATTAATATAAAAATAAATTAAAGTTAAAGTTAAAGTTATAATATTATTGTAATTATTATTTATTCTTTATAATATTGATTTAATTCTTAAGGTGAATCAAGAAACTTTGTTTCAATTAAAAGAAAAGGATTCTATTCATTATTACTCAATCTATAAGCATTTAATAGATCAACTAGATGGCTATCCACAAAGAGTAATAGCAAGAGAGGACACTTGGATGTAAGCATTATGAAGGATTTTATCTTCCTTATCTTAGGCCTAAGGATCAGATTCAGGCGGAACCACTAGTAGATAGTGTCACGTTTGTTTTTTGTACACAAGTGCAGAATTGATTTATGATTGAGGGTGAACAACAAAGAGATTAAGATATAAGAAAGAAGAAGAAAATATGAGAATACGGATTAATAGAAAGAAAGAGAAAGAGAAAAGGGGTGGATAGAGAGGAAAAGGAAATGAAAAAGAGCGAAAGCGGGAAAAGAATTTGGGTGAGAAAGAGAGAAAATAAAAAAGAGAGTGAGAGATGGAAATTATCATCACAATAGAAAGAGAATCAAAATAGACAAATATACACACACATACTAATTAACTCTTCTTCTTTCCTTTTCTTTTTCTCTACTTAGGGTTTTTTAAAGATTAATTAAAGATTTCTGGAGAGTTTTTGCTCCTTTTTCATAAAATTCATTGATTTGTTGAAATTCTTGATCAGAACTTTCAATATATGACTACATGATAAAACTTTGACACGCAATTTCTAATTTTTCCTAAACAGGTTGGATTAAAAAGATGGACAATATAACTTATTTTAGAACTTTGAACAAAATTTTATAACTATTTAAATAACTTTTTAATTTTTTTTGGATAATTATTAGCAATTTGTTGACTTGATTTGTTAACGGGAACAATCAAATAAACAGGTAATCTTCTTAATTTATCAATACTATCCAAGCCAACAGCTTCAATTATTGTGCAAGTCAAGCATAGGCATCAGCATTATTTCCATCAAATTTTTTAATATTGTTTAATTGAAATATCGGCTTGTCATAATTAAGAATCATTTGTTGGATGTAGACTGACTATTAATCCATCACAAACGAAACAGCAATCTTGAAAAGAACAGCTAACTCAATTAACCAAAAAGACAAAAGCTTCACAGATTCTGGGACAACAGACAAACGAACCAATTATTAGAAAAAGAAGAAACAAATACAGTAATCTCGTGACTAATGCATAGAAAATGTGGTTAAATCGCACTTAGCGCTCAATAGATGGCGTTAATTTTTTCTGCCTTTCGCAGTGCATTTTTTCCTATTCTAACGCCACCTAGCGTGAATTAGCTGCAATTTAACCCACAATTTTATGCGTTAACCGAGTTATGCATTAGTCAAGAGATTACTATACTCTTCAAATTTATCGATAAAATTGAACGAGCTTTACCGATGCTTTATTGACGAAAGTGATAAACAATAACTAATCTATCAATCGAATTCAGTGAAATGTTAAGCCAAATGGTTGTACACAATAACTAGGTTACTTAATCGTTCCGAAAAATCACCAATAAGAGTAATGAAGCACAAATCAAACGAGTAGTACTAGCGATATTTTTTTCTATTAGATTGTATGTTAATATTAATAAATAAATTTTAGCAATTTGATAAATTTCAAAAACTATCCTACATTCCTTGCAGAATTCCCATTAAACGTATAAACTGAATGAAGTAATCAATCAAACAAGACAAGCGCATGTTAGATGATAATGAAATACGAAGTAAGATGCAATTTCCAGCAAAATCACTTAACCAAATCTCGATTAAAACAAAACCAAAATAAAAAAATAGATGGATACGACATACAATCGATGTATAATTAAAACTAGCCGAACAATATAACGAGGCATACTTGATCACTTTTTTTTCAAATTTAGATTTCATCTATAAATATTGGATGCAAATCACGTCCGTGTCACCAACGATTCACAAATATAACAAGTTAGAGTCAATATTAAGAATTCACAATCGAGATTGATGTTACTAATTAGTTAAATTTATTAGTGCTCAATTTGACACCCTAACAAAACGGCAGTAAAGAGGTTCAGGTGAAGTAAACAACATAAAGGTTTCAAATCAACTGATCCACCAAAATGGTGGATTAAAGGAAAAGGAAGAGAGAGAAGGGAAATTTTAGGGGAAGATGAGGTGGTTTGGCTAGGGGCTGAACCAATTTTAGTACCTGGCTAAAGTTGTTAATACAAGAGAAAAAGTGTAAGAGAAAAGTAAACTTCTTCACTGATTTCATCCTACTCTTATCAAAATTGAAGAACTTAATGAATGATTTTGATTCTCAGGATTTTCTTTTATATAAAAGAAGTAAGAAAAGAAAAGGATAGAAAAGAAAGAGAAGTAGAAAGAGAGATGATAAATTCATCGTACGATTATCATCTAAATGCTAAATTGTTTCCTTAAAAAAATCGAAAGTTAGAAAAATAATAACTAATTGTTACCTTTTTCGGTAATAACCAATAGTTGTTATTACAGTTCCTTTTATAATTTGAAATGCAAATGCGTTATGCACGTTATGAGCACTTTCGTCTGTGGTTTGTTGATGTGAAGAAATTTCCGAAGCGATTGGTGATCTATTTAGATTGTTGATGTTTAATTGCTGATTATTTTCAGGTAAATCTGATTTGTCGACAATTTAATATTTCTATATTTTAGCAGCAAACATTGCTTCAATATTACTGAATAAATCTCATCAGCTAGCTATTTCATCCTTGGTGAAATAATCCTTTTCAAATAATGAAATTGCTTCTTTTAATTCACACATTAAATTATTCAATTAACTTTATAAAAACAATAAACACTCTAGAAACTGAAAACAACTTAAATGTTTCAGTTGCTTGCTCGTCGATTCGTATACAAAGTTCTCGAATCTGGTAAATGAATGAAACAGTTTATTGATTCGGACGCTGTTTAGCTTCAAGTAACTGCTTAGTTCAAGGTGATCTGTAGTGTGTAAGACAAAGGTCTTTAATCATTCTGATTTTAAGCTCATCATAGTTTTTAAGTTTTTCGTCACCAAAATTCAAAGTGTTATACCATCGTTTAGACGTTCCTTCAGATAAGTAGGAATTGACGAGAACTTCTCTTCCGGACTCCATTCTAAGGCATTTGAAGCCGAATCGAAGCTGGAAAACCAATCAATGACATTTTCATCGTCATCCGCAGTTAAGGTCATAATATTGATAGAATTATTTGATTAAATATTGGATGCACTACTTTGCTTGAGTTATTTGAATCCATTTAATATTATCAAACATGAGATGACTTTTTGTTCAGTTAATAAGCAAATGTAAAGTTAAGCAAGTAACTTCCAAGTCTAAGTAAAGAGCTTAAACTAATAGTTTGACAAGAAACTATTTTGACGATTTAATTCATACGTAAGAAAGTACGTAATCACTGTTGGATATGGTTAGTTATAACGTAGAGAAAATTTCCTTTCTATTAACTTTGAGTGGACAGTGGATGGTGATAAGTTAAATATATCTCGGTGGGACCTCCAATTGAAAACAACTTAAAAGATTAAATTGAATGAACTGTTTATTGCTTGAATATTGAGCCTGAATCCAACCCTGATTATAAGTTTGAATGACTAAAAGTTAATCAGTTAGTGGTTTGGATTCAACTAATTTTTCTCCATTGAATCTCTCTCTTTTATACAGAGATTCAATGGGATGATACAATTCGCACTAGGTACAATGTTACTATTTTTGCTTGATAATTATAAGTTTTGCACAATTTTCTCTATTTCTTAATTAGTATTGATTGATTATTAGTTTTAAAAAAGTTAATTTAGTTAATAAGGTTAATTAGATAATTAATCTATGTCTAAAGACTTCTTTATATTTTTTACATATTTCGGCCGCCATTCAAAAAAGTCTCTGTTTAGTTACAATTGTTTTACTTATAATTAGTTTTCCTTTTTAGCCAATATGAGATGATCAGTATTGTTGAGTGAATGTATTAATGTTGAGTTGATAATTCTTCAGTTCTTTCCACCAGGTAACTACACAAGTTAATTAAATTATTTCAGCACAGAAACAAAGACAACATCAACTCAATGAAATTACTTCAACTAAAGACAATTTTATTCATAGAGAAATTGGTTTATATAGTGTCCGTAGACTTTACAAAAAGTAAGCAAATTGACCTAATTGGTAGTTTATGTTTCTAAGAGAAACCGGTTGTTGGTTTCCGTTTGTAAGCCATTAGACTAATGGCTTAAAGCAATAAAGTCAAAGGATTATTCATTGGTACGAGTTTGAGAGCAATAAACAGAAAAACAAGAAAAAAGTAAAAATTAAGGTCGGTCCATTTATGGCCTTAGGTGGACTTTCGTTGATCCTTTTGGACTGTTTTAGTTTACAATTAATTACTTCTTCTTAATTATAATGAAAAGAAAAGACAAGATTATCTTAGTAATTACTTAAGTCCAAATGTGTTGATTGCTGAAAATGAAAAATGAACAAAATGTAAGCGCTTGTATTTCCATAAGTACCGATCGTATAACCTTTGTACTTATGTTTCAACTTATCTCTTTTAGACCTTTCTAATGATATATATTAGTATGATCTGTTGATGATTAGCCTCGGGTAGTTAACAACGGTTTGGATAGATCAAGTAGTTGTATCTTCTTCTCCATATGCCAATACATAACCCATACCAGTTTTAGGTTGAGGTCATTTATAGTACAAAAGTTATTCAAAAAAGGTCAAGATGGCCGACCAAGAAATGAGAGCGGTGATTAGAAATTATTTTTTAAACGGTTCAACTATAGCGAAATGTAAAGAGGAAATGGACAAACATTATGGTGGTCGATCACCTAGTGCTAGTAGTATAAAATGGTGGTTTCAACAATTCAAACTTGGACGGACCGACTTGAGTGATAGGCCGAAACCCGGAGCCGCTCAACAAATTGATATTCCGTCTTTGGGACACTCTGTATTGAAGGCCATCAAAGGTGATAGAAAAACTTCCTTGCGTGAATTATCAGGACAGTTTAAGGTTGGATATAGTACCATTCATAAGGTTGTTAAGGACCATTTAGGCCTAAAAAAGCTAACTACCGTTGCCGTTCCTCATAATTTATCCGATGCAAATAAGGAAGAAAGGGTTAAGTGTTCAACGGAGATGTTGCGTAAGTATAACGCTAAGCCAGGACCATTTATGAAGTATCTTTTCACAATGGATGAAACTTGGATACCTCTCTATGACCCTTTGTCTCGAACTGAGTCAATGGAATGGGTCAGTGACCGGTCAGAGGTCAGTCAAAGGCCAACATCGAGCCAGAGAGACAAAAAGGCAATGGCCTGTGTTTATTGGGATGGCCAAGGCATCATAAAGATTTTTTGGCTTAATGATGGAGAAACAGTCAACGGCGATGTTTATCGATCACAACTCGTCGAAATTGACCCACTGGTTCGTGCCCGTCATCGTTCAAATAAGCGAACTCCATTGTTCCTTCAAGACAATGCAAGACCTCACAAGGCGGCGCTTACTATGGACAAAATAAAGGAATTGGGTTGGACTACGTTGACGCATCCTCCGTATTCTCCAGACTTAGCCCCAAGCGACTACTTTTTATTCTCAAACTTGAAAAGATTTACCCGAGGCCAAAAATTTTCGACCAATGCAAAAACGAACCTTAATTGGTTAGCACCTGAACTACTGGAACAAAATCTTCTTGGTTATACATCAACTTCGGACATTTACTCTCTTGGTATAACTTGTTGTGAACTCGCCAATGGTTGTGTCCCTTTCTCTGATCTTCAGCCAACGGAAATGCTGTTGGACAAATTAACGGGAAATTTTCCCAGACCCATTGATTCAAATTGTGGAGAACTATCAGAATTACCTACTAATGGTAATTATAATTTTTCCACATTTAGTAATCTCCAATAATCTCCAATCAACCTTTTTCTTTTTCTTCTTCTCCTTCTCCTTCAATGATTAGATTATATTATGCTTCTAATCAATTCACTCTCAATCTAATCAAACTCTTGATGAAATTCACCAATTGTTCACTAATTACTATTTTATATCTTTTCTCTTGTTTTAGATTTAAATGAGGAAGAACGGCTTAGATACGAAGCTTATCGAAATCGACGATTCAGTTCTCATTTTCATACATTCACTGTTGATCTTTGTCTCCATCATGATCCATACAAAAGGTTAGTTAATTGCGAGAATTTAAATCGACGATTATTAATTTTGATTCATCTTTTTTTACCTCTTCTACTTTTACTAATCAATTTGGATGCTATTAAATGGTAACGCTTCCTCTTTGGATGTTTACAATTACTCAGACCGTCTGCTGCACAATTACTTAACCATAAATTCATCAAACAATTAAAGAAACTGGATAGTGGTACAAACTTGCTGACAATATTAAATCGGGATAGTTGATGACTTTCTGTTTCTCTCTCTTACTCTAATTGTTTATCATTTTGTAACAAAAATATATCAAACCGTTGGTTCTATGTTTATATTCAATTAACAACAATTAAGGTTACCTTCAAAGTTAGTTAATCAATTTCATGCGATTTTCAATGACAATTTGTAAACAGAATCACAACAAAAAAAACTGGATAATTTATCAAATTGTAAATGTAACAATTATCCTGATCATCTGCCTGAGAATTACAAATTGTGAACAAATTTGAGAAACTAAATCAATCAATAGTTTAACTCATTCAACAAGTAATAGCAAGTGTCTTAATTAACTACAATTTTCGCCATTGATTAAACTGTTACAATTTCCAAATTTACTAAAAAATTTTTCGTGTATCAAATTAACTCTTCCAGTAAAAAAAGTCTTGATAACAATTTGATTTTCTGTCTTGATCATTAATCTTTATTTTGTCTCATTCACATTTCGTAATTAAATTTTATTTCGATTTGTGATTATAATTAAAATTTCCATCGGTAAAATAAATAGTAGAATTGAACATAGTCTCAATAATTTGAAGTTCGGGTGTTTAGTTTTGTGTGAATAGAATTGAGAATGATTATCTTGATGATTTCATCTTTTCTCTGATTGTTTTGTTTTACTTTTTTATTCTACCCTAAAAATTATAAATTATCTCTTTTTGATTATAAATGATGATGATTATATAAAATATGGATCAGAAATAAAATAGATTGATGATGTTAGTAGTAGGCGGCTTTCAATTAGATATGAAAACATCTCACAGACAATTGTATTTACATGTGAACTCCGAATTAGTGTTCATTTAATTTAGTAGAGATAATGTAATTGTGGTTATAATTACTATGAGGATAATAATTAAACATAAGTAGATGACAGTCTTTTTACGACGAGCCTTTTTGTGGTAGATCACTGCTTTAGCTGTTTCTTCATTGGCTTTGGCTACATAATTTTTGGTTTCAACGACTTGGTGTTCAATCCGGTCGACCATATCTCCCTGAGAATCAACCAGCACCGCCATGTCCAGGAAAAGATCATGAAGCTCTTTGATGCTTTTCTCCAGTTTGATTATATCTGCATGACGAGCGGTTATGTCAGCCAATGTTTGCTTGGCTGCTTTCGAATCGGCTAAAATACGTTGGGTGAAAATTTCTGGATCTTTACTTTCCAACAATTCTTCCAATCCTTCATCGGTGGTACTGTTTCCGGTAACTTCTAATTGCGCCTTGATAACTTGTTTACACTTTTCTCTATATTCAATCTGTGCGTTATTGTATTGATGCATGATATCAGCAAAGCGTTTGGATAAAGCTGAATGTTGGGTAAATCTAATCCGATAAAGTGCAGATGATTTATCGACACCCTCCATGGAAATCATTGAATTTTCTATATCCTTAAGCTTATTTTTAATTTTGGTCGCTGATTTTTTAATCGATGACATAAGAGCCTCCAAATCTTCATCACCACTTTCATTTAAAGGCGAGGCAATGGCAGCAGAAAACTTTTTCATCTCCTCTATTTGAGAACACAGATGATCCAATGTTTCCTGTATAATAGTTACCTCATTAAAAAAACTTTCCATGAATTTAGGTCCTTCTTCCAGTTTGATAATCTTTTCTCTATATTGAATGGAGCTGAATCTCGATTAAATCTCATCATTCTTGTCTCAAGTCATAATCCTTAATCATAATAGTCTGAATACCTTTCATCACCTCAGTTAAAATCATTTACATCATTCAGTATATTTTGAAATGAATGATGTTTGTAAATTGTATCTCTATTCGCATTTCTATCAAATTACTCAAATATTAATCACTTTTAATTATCCAGATTGGATTAAAAAATTAACATTGATTAAGTAATAATATTAACCTCAAGTTTCATTTTGTAAATTTCTACCCCTCTAGATGGCAGCTCGGTCGTCTTGGATATTATCAAATAATTAACTTAATTGCTTGAAGATTATTTAATTGTAACCTATTCTCAACCTTCAATCTATTAGTTTAGTTATCTTATTTAAAATGTTCAGAGCTTAACACATAATTATATAACAGTCATAAGTCACTTATTTTGATTAAATTAATTCAATTTGTTGTGATATTAAACTATCTTGTGAGATGAAATCACAGCATTCTCAAGGGATAATAGCTTCTAATTAATTGCTATAACCTAAATTCCGAGGGAAAAGATGATAAACAATTAAGGTAAATAGATTGATAATTTGACTACAAATTTAACACCAAACGAAAATGAAATTTGATTAGATTAAGTGATTTGGTGAATTAAATAACTATGAACAAGATTTAAATTCCCTCATCCTGACCGAGTTTCCGTTGCTACAGTTGATTCTGTTACAATGGAACCGGTTGAATCCTTGAGGATATTGTTGGTAACTCGGGTGGTTGTTGTTTCGGTGAAAGTTGTTTTAGTCAAAACTTCAGTATATAAACCGGCCATCGATGGTGGTGGTGGCAATTCAGCTTCCAGAGTTTCATGAGGTTTAAGAACTTGGTGTTTCTCTATCCTTACAACTACAGGGGGTTTCGAGAAGCTAGAATGTGTCGTTGTTTCGTTTAGTTGCTGATTGGCACCTAATAAATTTCCATGAAAAAGGAGATGAAAATCAAGAATTACTTGAGGCCGATTGAACAAATAGAGAGAAAGAGATCTCATCTTCCTACCAGGTAAAATACTTTTTCACATAATATTGACATTTGTTAATTACCTGTTTGATTTAATGCACTAATAGAGGCACTTGACTTCAAGGTTTGAGAGGCACTGTTGTTAAATGGCGTAGATGAAGTGGTGAAGGTGGAATTGGAGGGTAACGTTGAATAGGACGAGGATGTTGTCAGTGTTGTTGTCGGTGGTGTCACGGTGGTGGATGGATTGAAAACAGTCAGATCACCTTTTAGGCCGGTTAATCTGGTGAATACTGAATATGTTGGCTTTGAAGAGTTTGATCCCCCGACTCCACCCGAATCATGGCTTATATTACTTAATGATCTTAAAGAAGGTCTTTTGTAAGATCCAGTGAATTTTGGTCTATTAGCCATGTAGGATGCCGATGAAAGGCCAGTGTAAGGATGAGAATTATATTCGCTTTTTGGTTGTCAATGCAATCATAAAATTAATAATCTTTTCTCTCAAAAGGTTGTAAAGGAAAAAAGTTTCATAAAACAGTAAAATTTGCTTCATTGTTGTTCGAGCCGATACAAAGTATTCAGTGTTTGGACATAAAGCAACGATGACATCATTCTTATTGCTGTCGATTAAGTCAAGTACGATGATGGACAGAATCAGAAGAGGCATTTATTCTGTAAAGTGGACTGACATCGGAAGGTAGACTAGATCCAAGATCATTGTAAGCAGATACTCTGAACTCAAAGATGCTCCATGGAGAGAGATTATTAGCTCGAACATTGAAGTTGAACTCCTGAAGTTTTCGCGATTTACTCCAGTAGACAAAATGTGATCAGCTAATACAATCCATGAAGAATTTTGATTAGTTCGACCCTCAATCTTATAAGAGAGTATTTGTCTTTCATTAGAAGCACCACCACTCCAATGGATGGAAGCAGAAGTAGCATTTATTATATCGGCTAAAACACCGCCGAAAAAACACCAAAATTCTAATACAATAAGCCATTTTATTTGTATTTTAGTGACTTTAAATTTTTACTTTTGCTACCTTCTATTGACCTTTCCTTGACATTGAATCTCTTTGTTTTCTTTCTATCTCTCTCTTTTACTTTCTCATATATTTTTTTCTTGTCTTCAGATCTTCAATGTCTTAAGGTCAAACTTTTCTGAACGAAAACCAAAGACAAGTTCTTTCGGATATGTAAATAATTAAAATAATCCGAATAATATTCCATGCAATTGGAATGATGTTCTTAGAGAGATCCAATCATGGACACCATCCAGGCATCAATGGACCATGCTGTAATAGAAAATTCCACTGCCACACTTTCACTGAAGGTGTGTATGATATACAGGGCAATTCAGCTAACTTGTTAGTTTTCTTTTCACGATTACTCCAAAATCACTTGACCGATAGGGTCCATATTTCGTCTACGGAAGTTTGACCGATACTCAGTTGTCATATTTCAAGGTCAAGGTTATTCATGAAAGAACGCACTTGAAGGTCATTTGAAGAACTTTTCGAAAACTAAAAATTTCTAGTTTTCGAAAAGTCTTTATTACCTTATTTTTTTCTTCAACTCTTCTTCTTTTTCTTCTTCAACAACATCAACTCTTCTTCTTCTTCATTAACTCTTCACTTCCTCTTCTCAAAAATTTAATTTTTTTTCTACAAATGGCTCAAGTAGTTGTTGATATCGCCAGTATTAATGTTAACCAGAGAAAATTTCTGGTTGATTTATTCTGGTGAGATGGAAATAACCTGATTGATTGGGATGAAAAACTTTTCATCTTTCAACGTTTAATTCATCCAGAAGCTCAAAATCCTCATCAATCGTCCATTGATGAGGATTCCCTTTTTATACAATAACTGAGGGGATATTCAACGGACTCGAAAAGGCCTTAGGACACGAAAAAGTTGTTTTAAAATATAAAAGTCACTTTGATCGCCGTAACCGTGACCTTGGCCTGCAATTTTGATCTCTCTCTCTCTCTCTTCTTTTTCTTTGTTTTCTTTTTTTCATCCAATTGAATAACCTTTACGACCTTGAAATATCACAATTGAGTATCGGTCAAACTTCCATAGACGTAATATAGACCCTATCAGCCGATAAAATCTGGTTTTCAGATGAGGCATGTTTCACTCTCACTGGTGAACTCAACAAGCAAAATTATAGATTCTGGGGGGAAGTAGAGTAAGAAGAGGAAGAGAGTATTTGTCTTCCATTAGAAGCACCGTCACTCCAATCATTGGATTCAAATGGATGGAGGCAGAAGTGGCATTTATAACATCGGCTAAAACACTGCCTGGAGGGTTTGGTGGACCATCAACAATCAATTCTTTTGAATGAGCAATAGTGTCAACCGCTGAGCGAATCAAACAAGTGTAGTTACCAGACTCGGCGAAAGTAATTCCTCGAATCTTGAGATAACCCGGTTTATTGTCGACTGTGAATTTCCATGAGTTGTACTGATCGACTTTGATACCATTATGGAGCCAAATGAAAGAAATGTCCAGCTTGGAATCAGAATTGGCATCACAAGGCATTTGAATGGTGTCATTTACTATGGCAACGAGTTTGGGTCTTGGATATTCAGCAAATGTTTGGCTATCGAAGACAGTTTAGAGATGGGCGATATTTGAAAAAAATATCATCGAACGATATCGATACTCCGATTTTAAATATCTATATGATCGATATTTAGCGAAAGAGAAAAAGACAGAGAAAGAAGTAAGAGAAAAAGAAAAGTTTTAAAAAATCGATAAAAAATCTTAAAGACTCACATATGATGAAAAGAAATAGAATTATTAATGGATATTTTTTTTCTTGTATCGATAAAAATCGACACCCAAAATATCGATATCGATAATATCGCCCATCACTAAGACAGTTAGATATCCTTTGCTTTGATCTCGACCATATTTGTTTCTGGCAACACAAATGTACCAACCTTCATCCTCTTTACGAACTTGATTGATTGTCAGTAATTCGGAGTTTGATCGCAATGGTGAATCATTTAGTAGCCATTGGAAAGATGGAGCTGGTAGAGCTTCAGGTGAACAAGTGATTGAAAACTTGGAGCCAAGAGCAGCGTACATATCCTTGAGTGGGTGACGTCTAAATGTTGGCTTGATACCAGATACTTTCAATTGAGCAGAACTGAAGTTGTTACCGAGTTCATTGTAAGCACGACATTGATACATTCCATTGTCTCTGTCAGGGTTAGCAGCTTCGATGGTTAGAACATTATCTTCAATCTTAATTCTTTGCGAGTCTTCTTGAGGGATGGTGTTGCCTCGAAGTTCAACTCCATTTTTGTACCAATTATATTTAACTTGGGGAATTCCAAATGCTTCACATTTCCAGATGAGGTTGGTTCCAACATCGATCACCTTATCTCTTAATCCTTTGGTAAATACAGGCAGTGATTGGACTCGGAGAAAAGTCGATGATTTGATGGATTCGGTGGATTCGGTGGGTTTGATCAGGCTAATAATAATAATCGATTATGTTTATCGCACCAAGTCACTTGTCTATTGAAACTTCGAGGAAAACCAATAAAGAGACGAAAGTGTTGAACTCGAGGGTGAATAATCCTTCTTTCGACTAGAAATGGAACTTTTTTAAAATTCGAAAAGTAAAAGAACAAGCAACTTTATCACTATTGTTCTCACTCGACTATGATGAGTAGACAAAGTGAACGAATGTTCTTGTGATGAATGAAAAGTTTCTCAGGCCGATTTGATTATTGATTAAAGATGAGAAAAGACCGACGCATAAGATGAGAACCAGTCGCTCATTTAAAAAAATGATCTTCTTGCTTCTCATTGGCTGTTACATTTGTTTGGGCCTCACCCTCATTGTCGCTCTTCCAGTTACTGTTGAGTGAACCTTTGGAGTCGAATCAGGAAGAGGCGCTATTATTATTATTAACCATCGACATTAGCATCAGTGTTATGATTATGATAATGGTTATTATCATTATTATGTAAGGGAGATAAATGAATGGGAAAAGTGAGCGAGTGAGCGAGTGAGTGAGAGATGAAATTGAAAATAAAGTTTATCAAAATGATGAACAAAATCCTATAAACTTGATGATGATTACAACACCGACATGATCGACATCATCAACTTGATCATCAGAATCAGTAGTGAGTGTGAATTGTGAATTGTGATTTAAAGTAAAAGTAAAAGTAAAAGTTTCCATCTTTTCTGATCACCATCTCCATCGCCATCATCATCATCAATAAGCATAATTATCATCGGATGTTGATTAGTTGTGATTCCAATTGATTGTAATGTTTGTGAATTAGTTACAAGTTACCAAGTGATCTTTTGCAATTAGTAAATTGAATCGATTCAAAATGATGAACACTAATTTCGACCATAGTTTCTATCAAACTGGACACGATCCTCACTCAGTTACCTACAGATTTTCGGGTGTATCTTCCTCATTACCATCGTCTTTAAGTGATCCTCATCATCCTCATTCGCATTCACATTCTCTTCCTCACCCTCACTCTCACTCTCACCACCATCATCACAATAACAACAACAACAATAGTTATGTGGACAGTTCGGCAGCTTCAGCAGCGGCCACTGCAGCAGCGACCGCCGCTGCTACTGCAGCGGTCTCAGGATCGGATGTCAATCCACCTCCTCCAAATTTTTATCCTTGGATGACTCCGATCAGTGGTAAGCATTTAACTTGAACAATATAATCCAATCACAATCCGAATCACGATCCTTGATAATCAGTTTCACTCTGCTCTTGATTCAACAATAGTCTAATTCAGGTTACAATTCAATGAACGACCAACTTAAAATCTGATTAACTCTAATTATGAAACAATCTAATCTTTATGAAAATGTTTATCATCTAAGTACTAAACTCAAGGCTCTATGGTTAATAACAATCTACTAATTATAGTATTTAACTTATAGTGTTCATTTGTGAGTTGATTATTTCAACTGTGAAATTTATTTTCACAGGTAATTATTAACTTTACCTACTAACAGTGTAGACCAACAATCAACAGTAACATGAGATCTGCAACAATCAAAAAAGAAACTAATTATTTAAAAATTAATCAACTGTTAATTGAATGATAGTTAAACAAAAACTGGATACTAATATTTTATTAGTCGCTAATTGATTAACTCAAAAACTTAATCTTATCAAATGAATAACTTGTAGCCAATACTTGAAACTATCGAGGTAACAATAAAGTGTTAGCTCAATTAAAACTCAAATCAATTGCAATTTAATCGCAATTAAATTGACTCCAAACTAAATTACTAACTTTTAACCATCTTCATCTTCATCCTCATCATCCTCATCATCTTCATCATCGTCTTACAATAAGCTGATAATACGTGACTCTGAAGATGATGATATGAATCAAGAGAAATGGTTACCTTTGTTACTCTAATTTATTACCCATCTAATTTGAATAATTCAAGGTCCAGTTTTTAGTTAAGAACAACAATTTACACAATGAGAATACAATTTAACTTAATCATTTACGTTTCTCTTAATCATAATTAATATGCTCTTATAATTTATTAGATAATTAGTTCGGTTTACGTGAGTTTTAAATTAGAAGCAAAAAGTATCAGCTAATGACCATGTAAGCAACATAATTTTCTCAATAAATTATTAAAATAATTATAATTATTGAGAAAATAATTAGAAGCAAATATTCAATTGATTAATAATAATGATATTTAAACCGTTAAGATGATGATTGTGCTTATTTCATATGTACGATTGTGTTTCAAGCTAAAGTCAATCCTGAATGGATTGTTAATTGTTGATGATAATATTAATACAATGATGATAATGATGATACTCAGAGATTGTAATAAAGATATTGAATGAGATTCTTGAATGAGACACATAAAGTAACACATTGAGTAATAAAATGAAGATGATAACAATTGATTCGTATGTAATAATAATAATAAAATGTTTAAAGAGTTGATTGAGACTTTGATTGGAATCGGATAAGTTTGACTGAGTGAAAGAAATAAAAACAAAGCGAGAAAATCAATAAAATGACAATTTTTTATTATCTAAACATTATTTTTACTCAAGACAACATCCTGAAGACATTTGTCATTCAAATGGTTTCTCATGTTAATGATAATGATGATGATAATTGTTACGATGATGATTATGATTACCATTCAAGTAGCTTATGGGAATTTCTCGGTAAAAATCATCGGAAAGGAAACAGTTTCTTTTAGATTGATTATGAAATTTATTAGAAGAAAAAAAAAGTAAGAAATTATGAGAATGATGAAGAGATGAGATGAAGATGGTGAAACGGAAAACGATTTTTACGATGTTCGAATTGACATTGGCATATAAGGCAGAAAGACTACTAGTAGTTAAGAAGCAAAGATGACCTGAAGTTTTTACGACTGTTAGAGTTTAGGCAACCACAAAATGTTGGATAATCACAAAGAAGAAGAAGATGAAGAAGAGATGCTGAGAAGGATGTGGAAGAAAGGGAAAAGGGAAGATGGCGAAGATGAAGAAAATGGAGAATTTTTCTCTCTGGTTATATAACAGCCTATATAGAAAAGAATTATGTTCTAAAAAGAAGAGGGGAAAAGGATGGAAGCCATTTTGTCTTCCTATGAGTGCAGATGATGATTCTCTCTCTCTCTCTCCATCTCCATCTCATTGATCTCTCATCGTTTATGGTCATCATATTTAACCATGAGAATAGACTCATGTCCAGTAACTTCTGAATTTTTTTTCTACCTTTACTTTTATGATAGAGAATTAGAGTGAGATGATGATGCAAAACTTTTCTCTTTCTCTTTAGTTAATTGGATCATTCTAATGGTCATTCGATATTAGAGTGACCATAACAAAAAGATACTGTGACACAATATTTTCTATTCATTAGCTATGCTTTCATTTGTGTCAATTTCAACCTGCAGTTTTTACCTTTTACCCTGTTTCTGCCCTGAGGCTGTTAAATCTTTTGCAACTAAAAGCAACACAAAGGTGGTCATCACCTAAGAGCACCTTATGTAACCTTAACTCTCTGTGACCGTTACATACTTTACCTTTTACTTTTATTGCCTATTTTAAGGTTGACCTTTTCAAAGCCAATAAAACGTTTTAGTTTTAACCTTTTAAATGTCGACCAGAGACTTGGAATAGCTTAAGGCGATTACTGATGAAAGTGTCCAAATAGTTCACCCAAGTTAACGAAGGCCAATATTGTCGCTCTTCTTACCTAACAAAATGGTTCATCTTTTCTGGTCATTAGTTAATTGATTGTTATTCAATATTTTCTTCGTTCTCTTTTATCCCAAACTAATACATTTTCTCATTCAGTTATGTCCATCATTTGGTCATCATCTCTTTTCCAGTGTTGATCAAAGATGAATTTCATTCATGTTCATCCAACTAATCGAATTAGACATTTGCCTAATCTGATATTATTTCTGTTTCCCTTTTCTCTCTCTCTTCTTTTTCCTTTGTGTGAACTTTTTTTCTTTGCTTCTCTACGATTTTCCTTTCAATTCTACTGTCGGCATGACATGTTTTCCCGGTGGCAATGGACTGCGTCGTAGAGGTCGACAGACCTATACACGCTATCAGACTCTTGAATTAGAAAAAGAATTTCATACAAGTCATTATCTAACTCGACGTCGTCGAATTGAATTGGCTCATGCTTTGTGTCTAACAGAGCGTCAGATTAAAATATGGTTTCAAAATCGACGAATGAAATTGAAAAAAGAGCTACAAGCAATTAAGGAGCTTAATGAGCAAGAGAAATCAACTCGATCATCTTCCAATACCAATTCATCAAACAACAATTCAACCAATCATTCATCTTCTTCCCATAATCACCGAGGTTCAGCAACTGGACATTCAAATGGACCCGTTAAAACGTGAATCAATCATGAAGCTCATCATCAAATCTTCAGAAGAGAAAACAAAAACACCAACATACTCAATCATCTTCATCATCGAAATGACCATCAACAAATAGGAAATTCAAATGAAAGTCATGATGTGAACTCCAACTGTAACGTAACTTTATATACTTTTTATTCAACATTATCAATTTCGAATTCGAATTCAGAACTTTTATTTTTTTCGTTTTCGAAAATCAGATAAAAGTTAGTGCTAATTTTCAGATATCGATCTGAATTCAACAATTGAAGTCAATTTATTTAACTATTTCTCTCTCTCCCTCTCTCAATTGAAGTATATCAACTATCATATTGATCAACTAATAGTATTATTAATGCTTATCAGCTCATCATTTATAATTAATTACAATCATCATCATTAGATTAATAGTCACAAATTAAAAAGATATTATTTCATCTTCTCTCACAGTTCTCTTACTTTTGTCTTCTTTCCATCATCATTATCATCCACTCAATGTATGCATTTCCCTTTCTCCCTGAACCCAATACCCTTTTTATCATGATTATCATCAACACACACAATTAACAATCAACTAATTGTCATGATAAGTGAAAATTAGCCATAAGAAAACAATGAATCTTCATAACTCATCCAATCCCATCATTTTCAATCTTCATAACTATTATCATTTTTGCTCTGTGAAAAGTTTTTATCTAATTTAATTTACTTAATTTAATTAACTTTGAACCAAAATTTTGTTTCCGTTTCCTTTTTATTTCCTCTCTCTCTCTCTCTCTCTCTCTCTCTCTCTCTCTCTCTCTCTCTCTCTCTCTCTATCCTTTTGTTTCTCTCAACTATCAATAGATTTTCATGATTCTCATCATCCTGATGAACTTTTTTTCCTCTATTTTGTTTTCTAACAAAAAGAAAGTTTTTTTTTCTTATACTCACAATTCAATCACCTGAAGGAACGAATAATGTTCAAGATATTGGACATTCACCTTGATTATCTTCCTCTGATGATGATTATGATGATAATTGAGAAATGATATCGATATTAGATATAGAAAGAGTGTGAGAATGAAATATTTCAAGGTAAACTGTCTTAAATCAATTCTACCCAATTAACTATTCCAATGATCATTAAAAATCATCCTTGTCATTAATTAACTCTCACTTCCACCCTTGAACATCCAGCAGACAATTTTGATCACTTTCTAATCATTACGATTATAAATATAATATAAATTATTTGTGTGCTTACCCTTTAATCTAGATAACTAATTAATCCAATTAAATGGCACTTTAATTACAAATCCCTTCCCTTTCATGATAAAAAAAATACCTAAAACCAACGCCAACAATAAACTCGATAATTTCAAATTCAAATGACACTTTTTTCAATTCAATGTAATCTTAATCTCTGCTCTCTCTCTCTCTCTTTCACTTTCTCTCTCATCTTAATCCACCTCCAACATCAATGAATAATAAAGGAAAAAACAAAAAGTAATTATAATCGATGCTAAAAAAACTATCACCATGAAAATGAATGAATTGTTTCAAGTAATCAACTTAATCTATAGTTAGTTAGTTGCAACATCAATGAACTTTTGCTGAATTTACAGATTATCAGAGGCTCTTTTTTTAGCCCTCCCTCTTACGATATATTACTCATCATGTGTAATTTGTGTGTGTATGTGTGTGTGGGGTTGGAATGATAATCTTCAGAGGATTTGAACTCAAGGATAACCTCAATTTATGAGAGTTGCTTTTGCTTTGCTTCAGTTAAGTTGATTATTTCAATTAACTTAAATTGAACAAAAACTGCAAAGATAAGGAGGAAAAGGAAAAAGTTTCTCTATATTAACTTTAAATGAACCTATAAAAATTCAAGATGAAAACCATCAATTCGGGTTCACTTTTAGGTTACGCCATCGAATTTGTTTCAAGTTCTAATACAAGTGTCGCCATCTATTGGATATCATTAGTATTTCTCTCGATATTTTTACTCTTTTTCTTTAATTCATAAGAAAAACTAATTATTTCCTTTTCTTAACTAATCGAACCATTGACTTCAAGTTGATCTCTTGTTTTGTTTGTACAAAATAACTTTCGAATAGCTGATTTGATTTAATTGTTAGAATACAAATGAGATTTTTTCTTTTCTTTCTTTCTCTCTCTCTCTTTCTTCGATCAATTTTGTGTATTTGATTATATGATTTAAACAATTAGCCTCATTGAATTTGGATCTCTCATAATTATCCATCTCAAGCCTTAGTCTCTCACATTAAAAGCCCTTAGGCTAGTTAACTTAATCGGTGGTCACCACCTAAGAGCACCTTAGGTAACCTTATTTGATTGTTACTTCTTCTTTTATTACCTATTTATGGGTAAACCTTTAAAAACCAATAAAAAAAGTTATAGTTTTAACCTCGTAAAAGTATCAATAAGGTCAACAAGTTACAACAATTAGTGATGGTCATTAAAGAAAAGTGTAATTAAAATATGTTGGATTGATATTTTTCCATCTTTTCTATGATAAATGTTAATTTCATTCATTTGGGTGTAATTTACATTCATCTCGTGTAAATTCACATTGTTTGTGAATAAAAAAATCAAACATTTATCAGATGATTTTAGTTGATGATTAAATTAATTATCAATGACAATCAATCGCCTCACTAATTGTTACCTTGAATTTGATGAAAAAAAATTGATTCAAATGTTAACCAATCGATGGCAGCACATTGAGCACAATAAATTTCACTGGTTCGTTAATTTAAATTGCTTTTTAAACACCAATTAAAAAACACGATTAACAATCAACTAATCACCTCTAATGATTTCGATACAAAAACAATTCATGAAAACCTCAACACTTGAAATACAAAAGATTCAGAATCAATTGAAAACTGATCAAGTGACAATTAACCTTTGAAATGAAAATTCAATTACTTTGAATCAATTCAAATGTCAATGTTCACATCTGATTGTTTCAAAGACAATTAAATTCACTTAATTATCTCAACTGTTTATGATGCCACAGTTAATTAATTTCTTAATGGTAGTAAACAAACAGTTAAACAATTGAACAATTGAAAATAATGAAGAAAATTTAAAATCAATGATTAGATTTCCAACTAAGAGATGGCGTTAACTTTTCGTTTTTTTGTCAACTTGGTTAATATTTTGCTCGCAATTAACTTAACCATTATTGTGACAATTTAAATTATTCCAATTAGAATCCCAATTAGTAATTGTAAACATCAACTAGTTAACTGAAGCAAAGCAAAGCAAATCAATATCCAATCGATTAAGTTTATTGATCAACAATCATCATGTTCAACTTGAAAGTTTATCTTTACGATTTGATCTTAGACCCGAAAGGTAGAAAGTACAAGGGTCACCGACGGATATTATGTTTCCCTTTTGGCCTATTAGCGGGTTACCTATTCTATATTTCATTTATCAAACGGTTGAGTTTGCCTGAAGAAGTTGAAGGAACTTTGTTTCCAATAGTAATTTTACTTTACACTCTATCTTATTGTTTATCGAGACAATTTCGTGCAATTACTTGTTTAATCGGACCAACTCTTGCAGGTCAAGTTGGTCGATCTTATTTATATCTATTATTTTTCAACGGTGCTATTCAATATCCAACCTCGAATCTACTCAAAAATACTTATGAAGCATCTCGAGTGTTTGCTTGTACAATTATGTTCCATAAGAATGCAACCGAACAGAAATTTCGACTCGTCTTCGAGCCGTATATTGGCTTTTTCAAGGGAATGCTCGAAGGATCAAAGGAAATCGGAAATGAGCCAAATTTCCTCGGCCAAATGGAAGAAGAACTTATGAAAGTAGATGCAGATAATAAGAAAGCCATGTTGGAAGAGATCGAAAAAGGCGACGCCATAACAAAAAGTAAGAATCTAACCAATTCTATCTAATTAATATCCATCATATTTGTTGCCACTAAATTCAAACTTCGAAATCCCCTGTGTCTCGATGTGTGTCCAATGCCCTGACCATCACTGACTCACCAGAAGCAGATCATCATCACTGCCACCACCATCATCCTCATCATCCTCATCATCCTCATCATCTTCTTATAGGTAGACTTTTTTTCATCTGAAAATTTTACCATGAAACTGGAAGCAACATTATCGTTATTGTTATTGGTTTTTCACTTCCTCACTTTAGCCCTTTGTAAATGATTTCAATTATCGTTGATTAACCGTTATTATTTGGCATTTACACCAATCAGTGAATTAACTTGTCTCTCAATCAAATAACGATTAACGATATTTAGTTTTCTATTGTTTTCTTTCATTAATTTTTCTTTGATTGTTTCTCATTTGAGGTTTTTTTCCAATAGTTTATTTGTTAGTTGATAGTTTTACTTTTTTTTTATGGCTAATGGATTTAATTTCATTCTAACTGTTACAACCAACTAACTATTACAAATTAACTAATTGTTATTAGTGTTCTAGTCGTCAGTTAATAATAATAAAAATGTAAAAGGTTTTGTTTCCTTTTACATTGGATTGATTTTACTACTTCACCATAACAACTCGATCTTCTCACTCGATCATTCTGACAATTTAACTAACTAATTATTTGTTTACATGAATTACATGATTAACTGAAAGTGGATTCAACTCTCAACTAAGAGAAAGAGAGTGAAATTAGTTAACTTTTTATTTCTTTTCCATTGATTTCCAATGGAAAAACTTTCGCAAACACATAAAAACTTTTCTCTTGACAACTTTAAGCCTCTTAAGCTACAAAGTTACATAAGATTTTTACAAGCAAAGCTTTTAAAACGATCTATTTGTTTTCTGGTTTCATGTCAATTCTAAATTTAAATTTTTACGACTTTTCCTCTTTTTCTCGCCTTCACTTTTCTTACTATCAATGGTCTTGTATTCATTTTCTTGTCTCTGTAACTTTTTTTTTACGATCAAATTTTCTGAGAATATGAAAGTTAAAAAGCTTTTGGGAAATTATTTGCATTCAGTTTCCATGAGTGAAACAATTTCTACATTTTTGTTTTCCTTTTTCTTGTAAAGAGACAGGAAAGTTATTGATTGTTGATTTGAATTTAGATTTGATAGTTTACAGGAAGACAAGTTGAAGAGCTTAAGATGACCATCATCATGATGATCACGGTGATGATAATGATGAGAAATAGATGAGCATAGAGCACTTTTAGTGTGTGTTTCTATCAAGGTGGTCTTGGTAAATTGGTTGAGTCCCATGTCCGTTAGATATTGACCTTATCATTCAAGGGACCATAACGGATCACCATCTCCTAAGGGGCTTCTAAACTTTGCAATTTAGGGTGAAAACGGTATAATATTGACCTGAGAGATAAATTTTCCGTTTCCTTTGACTCCAAGGCACATTTACCTTTTTGTTTATTGTTTATTTTTCCTCCTTTTTTTGACTTTTCACCTTTTCCAAACCAACCTTCTCCCTTTTCTCTTCTCTTATCTCTTGTCCAGTTAAGAAAAAGGGGTAACATTTTTAGCCTCAAGGGTCAAGGTAACTGGAGAAAACTCAACTCTCCCGTTTTACCGTAGCAATTTACAAAAGAAACAGTTTCATGTCCGATTGTGAAAATTTTCACTTTGCTAATCTTAAATTTCTCTCCCATAGAAAATCGAACGGCCATAATTGAGCAAAATAAGATAGATAATTCTGCACCATCGAAGGATCCTTCGAAGACCAAATATCGAGCCAAACTGGCCGGGTTCTTCGAACTTTCTTGCGAAGCCATGGTGTCCAAATCGCTAATTAGGTGTCAACAGAAAGCGCAACAAATACTTGACAATTGTTTCTGGAATGTACCTAACCTTATCGTTAAAGCCTTCTGTTATTTCTTGGACCATGAAACCTTTTGTGGTGACCAACATGAGAAAGAAAGTAAGAAGGCTACACTTTGTGCTGGCCAGAAATACACTCCAAAGCAAGTCGGCGTAGGACTTGAAACGGTGAATACCTCCGTCAATAGGCTTTACAGTGATATGCGTCTTACTGATGTAAGATATTCAGTTGATTCTGTCCAGACAAATATCACGAAAGCATTAGATGTCTATGCAAAGTTAAATTCTACATTATTAACAAGTTTCCATATGGTCAAGATCTTATTAGCACTTTTGAATCGTTTATTAGCTATTCTTTTTGCGGTCAGTCTTTATTACTCGAATGCTTATCACAATGGTTACATGAGGCACATTTACTTTGACAATAGGTTCATGACGGGCTATTTTCGGGCTATTGATAAACGCCGAGCCGAAGCTGGACGAACTTATTTGTTACCACTTCGAAGGCTCGAACAAACCGATCTGATAGTTCCAACATCATTCAAACTCGATTATCAGGAGAGTAGAGCTCGAACTGTTGGGTTTCTATTGTTCATTCCAATTGTTATTGGTACCATTCTTTTGGGATTTTTCGCAGAAACTTTTTTCGAAATTATGAACACTGTGAATGGATTTTTCGAGATGAAGAAAACAATTCGAGGATATCATGCGTTCAAATTCGATATCGAACAAAAGGGTTGGTTCAGTTCGATTTTAACTGATTTTCTTCCAACAGCGAATTTAAACTATACCGTTGATAAAGTTCTAACCAATGAGGCTTGTCTTCCGCAACCGGTTCCTATCGACAATTCGGTTTACACTACAATGGCTTTCGTGGCCTTTGGTATTCTTATGATTATTCTAACTCAAGCTTATCTACTTCGTCTTCGATGTTTTATTTGTGCTTATTTTCACCCTCAACGAGAAAAACAGAGAATAATTTATCTCTACAACGATCGCCTCAGGAAAAGAAAAGCTTACACAGTTTATCAATTGAAAAAGATTCGACAATTGATCACTATGAATACTCACATGAGAGATTCACCTTTGTTGAAAAATTTAATCAATCGAACTGTTAAATATGGCTGGTTCAAGAAATTGGTCAAAAGATATTGTTCGATATGTGAAACAGCTCAAGATGAAGGTTCGTATCAATGTCCAAGATGTTCAGTATTCTATTGCTCTCAATGCTGGGATCTGGTGGGGATGGTGTGTCGAGCTTGTATCGAGGAACCAGAGGAGCCTTCGACCATCCATGAGATGAGTAAACTTACAGAGGAGGAAATAAACAACAGAAGGTCGAGTAACAGGTAAAAGGTGTAAAGACAAGAGAGAAAGAGAGAGAGAGAGTGAGAGAACCGAAATGACCTTTGCCAATGGAGGCTGGAAGAGGATCCAAGGCAAAGGCTTTCAACCAATCACAACATTAACCAACTGCAACACCAAAGCTTAACCTTCAAGCAGAAAAACCTTCAAATCAACAAACTGAAAGTGATCAAAAAAACTTGATCATAAATGAAAATTAATCAACTAATCATATCAACTGATTGTTGATCCGAATCAAAGTGCGTTTCATTGTGTGTCCCCTTGTGTCTGTGTCTCTCTTGTGGTAATCAAATCAATATCATCATCATCTTCATCTTCATTTTCATCTAAATCATCCTCATGATCACCATCACCACCATCATCTTCACCATTGATTTAATGACCATCAAGGTAAGATTAATTTCTTATATTATTATTATATCCAAGGCGAAAATGTTACTCAAACTTACCTACCGAAATAAATTTATGTTACTAATCAAATTATTGTAATTTATCAACTGTACTCTTATTGTAACAAAGTTAATTAAATTCTGTTGCTTAATTGTTAATTTATCCGAAGAAACAAATTTCTAAACATGAACAAGCATTTCCACTCGTAATTCAATAGGAAACTTACCTTGTTTTCTTGTCTGTTACCTGATGATATTTATTACATAACATTAACATTTTCTGGTAACACAGTGAGAGAGAGAGGAAAAGGTAAACCAAGAAAAAAATGATACCCAGAAAACCAGTTTCTTTTTTTCCATTTACCTGTAAAAAAATAATTCAAACTTATCCAATGAGTGAAGTACAGGTAACCTAATTTAACGTACAAATTAAAGTGAAACTTTTTTGTTTGTTGTATTTTAATTGCAAGTCAAGTTGAATGATTTACGTTAATGAATCAACACAATATCATATTGCTATGAGGATCGAAAGGCTTTTATTTAAATTAGAATTAAATTAAATTAGAAAAAAAAGTAAAAAAAAGCTCTTGAAATCATTAATCTTCTAATGTTACATAGAATCAAATGGAGATAATTGTGAGATGAATTAAATTGATAATATTAACTAGCAGCATCTCAATGGAAATTGAATTAAATGTATCGGATTAAATTAAGATAATAGTTGAGATAATGAGAGAGAACTAGGGAACGAGAGAGAGAGAGTGGAAGATAAAAAGGAGGAGAAGTGGGAGGAGAGGAGGAGGTGGGTAAATCTATAAGAGGGACTTTGTGTCAACATGGGAAAACGAAGCAATAACAAACCTATTTCTCTCTCTGTGTAATAAAAATATAATAATGTTATCATAATTTTTATGAGAATTAGAGATTCTGTTGATGCTAAGAATTTAATACAATGTTGGATAAGATAAATGTTCCTGTGTAAACAGAATTTACGAAATTAACTTTATCTCTCTGCATTCGACATTCTCCACTTTTCCTCCTCTTCTCATTTTCTTCATTATATTTTTTGCTTCTTCATTTGCTCTCTCTCTCTCTCTCTCTCTCTCTCTCTCTCTCTCTATTCAAATAATTTCTTTGGCTCACCCACAGTATTCATCAACTGATTTTCTTCCTCTCCCACTTTTCATCGATTCTCGAATGACTCGAATATCATATTTATCTTCATTGAGTCTGCTTTATCTCATTTCACCCTATCATCTTTTCCCATCTCATCTTTTCATCCATTTTCATTTTTGGTTCATCTTCTCTCTCCATAGATCTTTTTTATTTTCCTCTGTTACATGTAACTGATAGTTCTGATGCGATAATAATTTGTGCAATAATTTTTATTCTCATCTCTCTCAATCTCTACCCTCCTCCCTCGATGTATGTTTTTTTCATATTTTTATATTGCTCTTTGATAATTTACTATTTGCAATTATGATGATAACAGTAATGCTCGAGAACCCTTGTAAGTTATACCAGAGGAAGATGAGAGAGAGAGAGAGAGAGAGAGAGCGAGTAAAGTACATCAGCCTTGGAAAGGATTGGCTTCTGTTAGAGCGCAGGTTGGATTACATTGGTTCAATGATGAAGCTGAAACTGAAGCTGGAACTTATTTCGACTTCATCTTCAACTCTGCTCTCTCTCTCTCTCTGCTGATGCTTAAGTTTGTTCAATAAGATTTTGTAACAGCATTTGGATTACGCTTTACTTTTACAGCTAATCCTTCAATATTTATTACTTGACTTTTCTTACAAAAACTATTTCTTTTCCCCTCCCTCATTCTCTCTTCTTTCATTCTCTTCTTTTATCATCATCATCTTTTTTTCTTCAATTTACTTTTTATCATCAAGGCCAAAAAGTAATGCATTTCAAGCGATTTATCCACACTTCTTTCTCTCTCTTTTTGCTCTTTCTTTTTCTTTTTTTTTCTCTCTCTCTACATCTTCCTCCATCTCTTTTCCTCCATAAGTTTGTCCATTGTTGATCTTTACATCTTCGCCTCATTAATTCATCAACTTACTCACTCAATTCTCCTTCTCTCCCTAATTTTCATTCTCATTCTCATTCTCCTTCGCTCTCTCTCTCTCTCTCTCTTTTTCTCTTTCATTCTCCATCCTCATCTTTTTTTCCTCTTCTGTATCAAAAGTTTTACATCTTTTCCACTTCATCTTCTTTCCTCATCTCTCACAGTTTTTCATCTTGTCAGTCAATATTTTTCTTCATCTCCTCTTCCCTCCATGAAACTTTTTATCTAAACTTACATACCAATCCTATTCTACCTTTTTTTTTTATTTTCATCCTCATCCTCATCTTCATCCTCATCACCAACATCCAACAACTTGAGTAACATTTTACTTGTGAACCTATAAAACAAATTCTATAGGATCAAAACCAAGCAACATCTATACATTTGGATACTTACCAATGATCATTTGGAATCAATTGGTTATCCTAATATGATGATGATCACAATGATGATCAATATCATCACCAAATCATCATCATAAAATGTATAATGTTTACCTTTTAACTCTTTCCCATTCATGTATCATCTTCATGGTGAAAATGATGATTACAACTGAGATAAAAACAAAACAAAACCTCAGGTCATCATTTATGATCAATCAATGAATCTTCATGAAATCAATCAATCAACATACTAACTATGATCCATTCAATCAATCCAATGATTTACATCAAGTTACCTTTAAGAAATTGAATGTTAATTCAGTTAATCATTTCAATTCTCACTCAGATAACTCATATTTTATTTTATTAATCCATTAATCTTTCATATAATCCGCTGGACAATTGGTTTAATCATACCTTTGATTAAATGTTTGCTCTTGCTTTATAATTGATTAAATGTTATTTACTTGACAATCAAGTGACACAAATTGGATTAACACAAATAAAATAACGTGTTAATTTTATATTGAAACTCAACAGTTAACAAACTGTCTCACATTTTTAATGACATCAATTCAATAGTAAACTTGTAATAATAATGATTAAGTTAATAATAACAATGATAATAACCATTTATGTAACTATTAACAAAGACATTAAAGTAAAGTATTATTATCATCATTATCACCTTATGATTACTATTTACTTTGATATGGTTTACCATGTAAATTGTATTCACTTGTTAATCAGACAATTAGTAGATATTAAAGTTAATTCATATATTAATATATGAATAAGTCCAAATATCTAAGTTTTTTAATACTTTGCATCTTCAATAATAATGATCATTGATCATAAAGATTCAAATACAAATCTGAATTTCGTTTCAATCTTTCTGATCCGTTTTTTTATTATTCAGCCTGTGTGTATGTTTTTTTCATCGTTTTCACCTTTAAATGTGATGAAACGTGAAAAGATCATGATAATAGTAATGACGATAATGCTAATATCTTTGTAGTTCTTCAGGTAGTCTCATTACAATGGAAGACAAAGAAAGAGACTGAGAAGATAAACAAAGTGTTATAATGGTAAAGATGAGAGAGGAGGTGGTAAAAAGAGCAATGAAAAGGTACCTTGAAATAGTTTAGCTCTTTATTATGATGATCACCATAAAAAAGGCTCTCAGAGAGTCACCCAAGTCTCTCTCACTCTCTTACTCTCTCGTCTAAGATGATGATGATTCCCATTAACTGTAAATGATCCTAATAATATAACCACCCTTGACCTTATTCCTCTTGATTAGTTGCTCTCTTTTTTTACCTTTGTCATTTAATAACCTCTCATTTCATTGTTTCATCACAATTGAATCAATTAATTGTGCTTTCTACAAACCATTCAGTCTGCTACTAATTAATTGGAGCAAAATAAAGTTTTTCAAACTCTTTTTTTTTCATCAAATGTTCAACTCAATTTTCTCCTTCTATGCATTTATCCAATATCGCTCTGAATAATATTCTTCATGGTGGTATTAATACAGTCAAATCAGAATGAATTCATATACCTTTAAGAAAAAATTAATATTTTCAAAGAAAGATAAAAAGACTAATCCCTTAGGAGATGATAAAAGTAATCCCAATTCAGATTCATTTCGTGTTCTCAAAGAAACAAAAAAAGATTTTCTGAGTTAGAATTAAAGTTTTGCCGTGTTAAACATAATTCAATCCATTTTGCCCTGAAGACCGGCCAATTGGTAGAAAAGCAAGAGAAAGTTTGTATTGTAGATTAGAATTGAAAATGAATTTATAATCGGTAAAAAAACACTCATTTTGGTTCAGAATCGTTGGAAAAATATTTCGATGTGCTCGTATTAACATCGCTCTAATTGTAAACTTCGGCGACTTTTTCATTATTCTGAGTTCTATCGAGCGAATATAAAACTGCTTTTAATTGGTAGAAATTATTTGTTTAGAATGAAAAATCGCTTCAATGTCCAAGTACTTCTGTCGATCTCTATTTACTGGTTATTCTTATTTGAAGAGAAAAATGATTCTAATTATCGTTAATTGTGTTTTACTCACTGAATCTAATATTTTGAGCGCAGTTTTATATCAAATTTCAAGTTAATTGATACTGAATGAGTGGAAATTCCGATTCTCTCAAACTCAAGGTGATTTTATTCAGTGAAATCTCAATGTTGAAGATCCATTTCATGGATTGAACTTTATTGAGCTAATTTGTATCTCGATAGGAGATCAAACTTGATTGTGCTACATAAATTAAAGAAACTATATATAGCAGAACTCATGGTGATCAGTGAATATCATGTTTATAATATTTCGAGTGGTTTTCTCTTAAATTTTCAGGCTTATCTCCTTTATTGGAGTTTGAACTTCCTGGTGCATGGAAACTATTTGTTTTTCTTTCTCATTTGATTGATTGAAATGTCAACATGTTCACTTCAACAATGAAATTACCTATTTGTTTATTTCATCGTGATTGTTAAAATCCAATATCAATGCAAGTTTAGTTCACTTTTTTACCTGTAAATGTCCTAGAAGTCAAATCTAACTTATGCTTTAATCTTGAGATTATCTGATCACCTGGGGCAACCTTTTCATCTGACTGAATAGGAGAAGTTGTCACGAGAATAAGCTCATGATGGAGTGATGAAATATCGGTTGAATTTAAATAAACAATAACGATATTTGTGGCACTTAAAGCTGACAAATATAGATAAACAATTAGCAATCTAATAGATAATAACTTCCTAAGCAGGTTAATTGTTTATTAGAAAAACTGTCAACCAAACTATAAGTGTGTTGATAATCAACTTAAAAAGACACACAAACAAATTATCATCGCTCAAACGATTAACTTTCAATGTCAATGAATATTTCAAATTTTGCAAATTCAACCAAGAAATTGATAAAATCACCAAAAAATATCAATAAAAAAATATCCGGTTATCGAACTTGTATTTCCAATAGATTTTGATTGTTATCTAGACTTTAAATATCAACTAATTAACATCGGATTAGGTTCTTGACCGACGACATTGACATTCACTCATTTGTATTTGGCACAAATGCAATTAAACTTGATTTACTTTCGATTTGATTCATTGGACTAATTTCCCTTCATTTAAATAAGATTTTGAAAAAATATTCATATAAAAATTGATCATGATTGTTGACAGTAATGATCATTCATTATGGTTTAATTATTTCAATTGAGCTTTTGATTAGCTTCATTTGTTTTAACTTTAAAATTAGAAAAAAGATGGAGCTTCCATCTATTTAAAAGTTTTTCTTTTTTCGGTTTGGTTGGAAAGAGAAAATTATAGAAAATGAGAGAGAGAGAGAGAGAGAGAGAGAGAGAGAGAGAAGATTCATGATAGATAAAAGTTCTGAGAGCATCGGGTGAATCCAGTTTACTGAGTCACCTCCATGGTAAGTAAAAGTGAAAGAGTAAAAAGAACGAAACCAGAGAGAAAAGAGAGAGAAAATTAGAAAGAGAGAAGAGAGAAAGAGAAAATGAAAGAATAAGAGAGAGAGAGAGAGAAAAAAATTAGAGGGATAGAGAGAGCGAAAGAGAGAGAGAAAAGTGAGCGAGAGAAGAAAAATTCTCTTAATTCATTCACTCTCCATTTTCTTCTTTCTCTCTAATACGAAATAAGTGATAATTTTTGTGCAAAACGGATAACAAAACCATCATCAACTTCCAGCATCTCTTTTTGCATCCTCATCATCATCTTAATCCATCATATGATCTACAAGATTAAAATGGTAAGAATATTAATATTTCTCTATTTTTCTCTTTTACTTTACAACTAAGATTGAAAATTTGTAAATTAAATCATCAAAAATCAATTGATAATCAAATAAACACTTCAAATGAGTGAAATTCAGTTAATAGCCAAATCTGAACCCAAAACCCAAAATGATTTCATGTGTTTCTGGTTCTGCAATCAAGCTAATCGATTAGTTTGTTTACTCTATACCAAATCATTCAACATTCTGAGTGCCTGAAACTGTACCTGATTCACCATTCAAGTACTTTCCCTCTCTAGCATTTGTCTATTTCCATGTGATTTCACCGATAATAATTCAGGTGAACATTAAGTTATTCAATTGTGTCTTCTCTTGACTCTACCATCTTTGTTATGCTTCACTCGTTTACTTTCAATTGGCTCATGATGAATATCCTAATCTGCGATATGCATGAGGTTTTCATGAATCATTTGATTTATTGAATGTTTTATCATCAGTGAGTAAACATTATGGTAAATCAGATTAATTTGAATAGATAACTGATTCGTTATTTCATAATTATGGTCAATTATTTTCTTTTAGCTTCTAAGTTTTGAGCTAAGAAAATTTTGTGAGGCGGGGAGAGGGTCAGTTGGGTGGAAGAAAGGACAAGAATGAGAGAGACTTTGGTCGAAATGAAGAATTAAATTATACGAGAAGGTGAATAGAAAGAGAGAAAAGTTAGATAATTGGAAGATAATTCAGTGTAATTAAGATTAAATTAAGATTATGATGAGAAGAGAGTAGCGAGTTTGAGATGAAAGAATTGATTTAACATTGGAAACATTTTCCATCTCCTTCTTGTCTTAATATTCTAAGCAAATGATAGAAGAAGAAGAAAAAGAGAATCAAAAAGAAAGAGAAAAAAGAAAGAAAATTTTCCTCTTTCTTCATCATCATTATCATCTTGATTCTCTGGTTTTCTTTGTTTATAGGAAGATGAGCTAATTATGATTTCATCTTCATCATTATCATTAAACAGGTTCTTCGTTAGCTTCCAAATAGTAATTTAATTTTTCTTACTTATTAACTCAATCGATGGATGAAGATGAGGATGAGGATGATGAGAGAGATGAGGAAAGTACAAAAGATGCTAATGAGCTTGGGCATCGAAAAGTAATTGATCCTCTTTTTTCATATCGATTTGAGTTGAAATTAATTCGATACCTGAAGATGCAAAGATTCAAAGGTTCGGTCACATTTGAGCGATTCTCATGTAATAACAACTGAATATGTTGATTATAGTGGAATAATTATCTCGATTATAGGTTCGGGTTTTTGATCTTCCAAAGAGATCAAAGATCATTTTTTGGCTCTTTTACATTGAAACAGAATAAAAAATCAACCCGAAGGCGAAATTGTTTACCTTTTTTCTTGTGTTCGATAGCTCATGTTGAGTAGAGACAAAATATTAGTTTCGTTTACATGGTTATTAGTTTCATTCATTTTCTCTGACATTCAAAAAGAAGAGAAGAAAAATCGAAAACAAAAACATGACAATAAAGTAAATTCTCTTCCCTTTCCTCATCACAATCATCATGATAAACAGTTACTCTCAGTTGGATCTCTCTGTATCTCTATGAGTTCCATTGAACTTTAGAATAGAACCAGAAAAAAAAATCTCTACCATGTAACTCTGATTTTCCTCATTCACCTCATGAAACTCATCGATACTCACCCAATCTCAACTCAAATGGAATCTTAAACTTTGACTGACAAAATTTCATCTCCAATTGACTTAATCACATTCGATTACCTGTTGCAATATATTATCAGAATTTTCATCTTCTATGATATTTTCTATTTTCTCTTCAATTTCCTTGCACTTATCATTACAACATTTTCCTCCTTCTCTATCACACTCATGCCAAAATTGTCAGCAATCAATTTCATCTTCCAATTGAAAATCACCATCGGTATTGTATCAACATCAAAGTGCTAATAAAATAATGGTAGTAATGTAATTGACTGAGAAACAGAAAATGTAACCACAGAGCAACAATTAAATTAAATTAATAGTTAGTATATAATAATAATAATTGTGTGGTTAAGTAATTGCCAATAGACTGTGGGTAATAAAGGATAAAATAATAATAAAAGATTAGGATTAATGGTCAATCTTTGATGGACATTCGTGTGACATTGAGACAATCTCACATTTAGATGGTCACTCAATAAGAGAAAGGGTCAACAATGATTGGTTATGACACTTTAAATTAAATTACTGAGACTAAGTAACATTATTTTCACCATACGAATACAAGATTAACAAGACAATTAATTTGATAATTTACAAAACTATTAATAATAATAAACACGATTCCCAACCATAAATTAAGACAAACTCACTCTCATCATTATCTTGCTCCTTTTCTCATCATCATCATCATCTCCCTTACACATAACCTCCTCTTCCTCCTCCTACTCCTCTCGTATTCATCATCATCTGATAAAATGAAAAGTATCAATCTCAATGTCTGATGGGCAATTAATGTTGTTAATTGTTGTAATTAACATCATCATCAAATACTATGATATGATTACCTTTGCGGTTTATTGGATAATCTTGAAAGTAGGAAAACAGGCTCACGCTCAATATTTTATATACTTAATAGTAAATGGGATAAGACTAATAATTTTCTAATAGTAAAAGTACTTGACTCTTTTTTTATGAATGAACTGATTGAGTAAACAGATAAACTTAGAAAACGTAAAAGAAAAAAAAATAAAAGTCAAACTTTATTATTATTATCATTTTTTACTGTTTGTTGTCTCTCTCTCTCTTGTTTATATCTTAACAGTTTAATGATTATCATAATCATAATAACAGTAATAACAATAATCATGATAATAATCATAATAATAATGAATGAATTGTAATCTTTGACCAGAAAAAAAAACTTTAGGACCAATTGACAAGTTGATTTGAAGTGAACATTTTTATCACCAATTAAAGTGACATTATTATGAGTATTACAATGATATTAACATCATCATCTTCATCATCAACCGAGAGAGTGAGAGAGTTGAAAAGTGGAAGAATAAAAAAAAAGATAAACATATTATACATTGAATAGTGATGAGGATAATGATGATGATGATAATGGTGCTAATAATGATGAAGATAATGTTTAACCTTTTATGCGCTTTTTTATCTGACATTTTATTGAGCAGTAAATGTTAGTATCCAATTGAGATTATCTCATTATGGTTATTTAATAACCTGTTGATGGACTCATCTTTTTTTTTAAATACCCTTTTCATCCTCATCCTTTAAGATACTCTCTCAGTTTCTGTCTCTCCCTCTCCATGTACACCAAAAGGTGACAATAATAGCTTCATAATGACGATGATAAATCTCATCTTGATTATTTTTACTATTTAATTTGCATTTTCCAAGTTTCCAGGTAATCGTTTCATATTCATTCAGAATTCACTTTTAATCAGTATTCTAGTTTTATGATAACTTTTTATTACAATTTCATTCATTTCGTTATCTCTTCCTCTATGTGTGTTGTTTATCAACTACCAATGATCAGCATTCGCTCAGATTATCCGCTAACATGGATAATGTCTTGTGTAAGCTTAAGATTAATGTAAATTGTATCAATACATAAGCGATAACACAAAAGGTATCGAGGATATTTGAATAGGAAAGACGTTCCTTCATTGGTTGTATTCGGACAATGGTTCTCACTTTTATTTGCTTTTGTGTATCAATACAAATACTCATTTCTTTTTTCTTCATCTTCGGCCATTTTGTGTCACCCATTTTTTGTCACTTATCTTTTTGTCCTCTCTCTCACTCTTTCTCCTCTGTCTATTATATATTCTTATGCTTCTGAGGTAAAAAGCAATGGTTCTTTGTCCAATCAATTTTCTCACCAATTGCATTTCACATCAGTTCATCTTCATCATCATTCTGATCCTCCTCATCCACCTTAACATTGAAAAAAAGCATCATCTCCAATCCCATAAATTTTAAGAGGCCTTTCCTTTGGTTATCAAGCTTTTTTCCCTTCTTTTGATAAAATAATAATAATAATAATAAGGATGATGATGATAATATAGGGATACTTTTATCATCATCATCACTCTGTAACTTTAGTCTCTCTCTCTCTCTTCGTCTTCATGCTGTTTCCTTTGCTTCTGGTTTTTCTGGTTGTTCTCTCTCTCTCTCTCTTGCTTTCTTGCCTCTGGCTTGATCAATAGAGATTTCTCCATCTTCTTTTTCATCATCTCCATCTTCTTTATTATATAAGCGAGAGAGAAAGAGAGGAAATATAATACCAACGGTAGCAGATATATTAAGGTTACCATAGTTATATAAATGATTTGTTGTTCCTCAGTGTATAACTTGTATAAACTTTTCTTGCTTTTCAGAGTTTCCTCAGAGTTTCCTTCATCTCCTCCTCCTCTCTCTCTCTCTCTCTCTCTCTCTCTCTCTCTCTCTCTCTGAGTTGCTCTCTTTCTTCTTCTTTTAAGTAACATATTATCTTTCTTTATTTCTTCTTATGTTTATAAATCTTTATCTTCGTCATCCTCATCTCTTCTTATCGTCTTTGATAGGATGTTGTTGTTTTTTCTTTTCCCTGAAATAAAAAGGAAGCAAAGAGAATCTCTTATAACCATCAATTATCAAGGAGACTCTTTTTTCTGTAAAATTATCATTTGGGAGGGAACTCAACCTTTTATTAGATATTTTATCAAAATGTTCTCCTTTCTTATCCTCCAATCAAAATGACAATAAGTTCTCTTCTTCTTCTTAATCTTCATTGTCTTCATCACTTGATTACGGTATTTCATTTTCTTTTTCCATCATTAATTAATCTTCCATAGTCTCTTTTTCCTCTTGTATCTTATTGGGAACATTTATCTTCCCATTTGATAATGTTTTTCTCCATTAAATCGCTTTTTCATCATCACCATCATCATCTTTATCCTTATCGGTCAATCTAATCTAATCGCTTTCTTTGTTATCCTTTTCATGAGATTTATTATCATTAATCAAGGTTTGCTATTTATTTGTAATCACATAATAATAATTCAGAGCTTCCATTCAGGCGTAATTTATTATTGGTGAGTTTGATTAGATGATCAGGAAGATGATGTTGTTGTTGCTCGATTATCATCATGATTATGATGACAAAGGATTTCGGTTCTTCAGTTATAACCTATAGCAAAGAAAAACAGTAATAAAATCGATGGAAACTTCGCCAACGCCCTTTTCTCATCCACCCACTCGCTCTCTCTCCCTCTCTCTTTATCTTCCATATATTATCATCATCATCATCCTTCATCTTTTCCAATGTTACACTTTTTGCATTACAATTTGCAAAAAGCATCATTCTCAACATACATTGAGAATATCAAATGATGATGATGATGATGATAGTGACAAGGCGTTGAGAATTTGAAAAAATTCAAAAATCATGTCATATTAGGCGTGGTTATCTGAAATTCTGACACAATCTCATCATGAGTATTGATAAAACATGATAATCAACATCATCTCCATCACTTTACATGTTTAATATCAAAAGTTTATCTTAAGTTTAATCTCATCTTCTTTATCATTGAGGTTTGTCTTCGGGTCGTAATGATTAATAACCTTTTCATTTTAATGATTTAATCATGATTGTAATTGATTGTCTTCAATTAAATGCACCAACAATCATGATAATTGCTGTTTCTTCAACCCTTTAACTTTTAATTGTAACTTCACCAATTCTAATTCAATTTACTACAAGTACTTAAACATCCTGACAATTTAATTAATGTCAACTAGCAATTGTAATCATTTAATTATTCATAACAATATAACCATTTACACATTTGTCTTACAACTGCAAATTAAACAGTGACAAACAATTAAATTGGTTCAACAAGATTCAGATGAAATTAAGTGACAAATTAATGAAAATAAATATCATATTACCCAAACAATTTAACTTTAATTTTCAAGCTAATTATCAACTAAATCGCTAAATTGGATTATCATTAACATGGCAACAGATATTTATCATTAGCTAAGGACACTCCTGGTTTAGGATTAACTTGAAACCTTGTTTATAACTTAATCTAACAACCTTATTACCTTAAAAAAAAGACTTCAACTGTTACTGATTGTGGATGATGATGATAATGATGATGATGATGATGATGATGATGATACAAGGTAAAGGTAATTTTTCATCAATTTCCATCGTGTCTTCATCATCATCTCCAATAGATTACCACAATCTCGTAATCTCGTTGGTGAAGGTGTGTTGCCTTACCAATTGAGATCGAAGCTATAAGATAATAAGAAATTGAAAAGTTTTCTTATTTTCTTTACCAACTAATCAAATTATCTTGATCAAATTAACAATTTGAATGTTTACCAAATCATTTACCAGATTCTCATTCAAGTTATCATGCAACTTTTGTTGGAATATCAAATAAGACTCATAATGATGATGATAATTATACAGTAGTCAAGGTAACCAAAGAATGAGCTGTTCCTGGTCTGTGTTGATCGATATACAATCAATATCCAACCGAAGGTAAATTAACTTTCATGGAAAAAGGTTTAACTTGAACGGCTTTTAGGTAGACACTGTGCACGGAAAAAGGCCCAATGCTTATTGCCTCTCGCTCTCTCTCTCTCTCTCTTCTTGCAATTACCTTGTTTTTTACAATCAATGAGAAGAACAGAAAAAGAGTAAAAAACAGAAAAGAGACTGAAGATATTGAAGAAACTGTCATTTCTCTAGTTACTTTCGTCTGTCTGTCTTCATCTTCTTTGGATCTTTTTTTTACAATATTACAGTTCCAAGAAAAGAGCATCTCAAGCTCATGGGAGGGCATCTTCATCTCATCATCTTCTTCATCTTCTGCCTCTTTTTTTCTCTCTCTTTCTCTTTGCTTCATCACTTAAGTTTATCTTTCATTCTCCATCTTCATCTACAGTTGTCTCTTAGTTTTTTCGTTACTTTTTTCCACCTCTACTTCATCTTCATCATTTGTAGCATCTTCAACATCCTCTTATCTTTTTCTCTCTTTCCTCTGATTTATCTCATGTTTTTTATTCAAGAAAAATGTTCACCCCAATTCCCATTTAGTCAATTAATCAAAACAGAAAAAAATTCCACCAGAATCTTCATCATTTCCCCTCATGTATTTCATGATGAATAATGATTGTTGCTTTTGTTTCTCAATTTGTGAAACAGAAAAAGATTTATATTAACAATCAGTCAACAATTCACAGTTATCATTACAATTTTATCAATTCATTATTCTTGATGCTGTTTTTAGTATTTCATCATCAATATTTCCCATGATGATTTCAAGATACTGAAAGAGATAAATTCAGTCATGTAAGATGATCAATGTAAGAGGGAAAATTGAAGATAAGTTGAATTTTTTTTTCTTCTTCTTCTTTTCTAATCATACAATTAAAATCACCAAGGAAAACCTTCTCATTCCTTTACACAATTAACTTTAATTACAAAGTTTTCAGCAATTTAAAAATGTTTCACAAGCTCATGCCCAAAGTTTTCCGAGTCTCCTCCTTGAAATCTCATGATGAATTTTCATGAAACCTGAAACTGAATAATATTAATAATGATTAGATTGAAGAAGATGAATATACTCAAGGCTCTACTTTCCGTCTTCAATTTTCATCGATGATAATATTTTAATAATAAAAAGATATTAACTCAATTCTGATACGATGAATGAATTAGGAAAACTGAGAGAGTAAAATAATTCCAGTCTCGAATTTTCTTCTTCTTCATGGTGAATAAACTTGAGAACCATTGAATTTGTTGCAATTTCATGCTAATTTATTTCCAAATCAATCTTAAAATGGCCTCAGCACGCAGCCACTTTAAAGGTATAACATGAGAACGCGCAAAATCAGGCCACCTTCAGCCAATCGAATTGAAGTTAACGCCAAAGTTGAAAAGAGAAAAAATTGTTCTAAAAGTTTTCAATGTTCCAAAATGTTCTAGAACTGATTGATTCAGTTCGATGAAAATCTAATTCAATCTACTTTTTCTTACACATTCATTGATTAATTTCTTTTACTTTTACTCTTCCCTTTTCCAATAGAAACCATTCAGATACAGTTGAGGATAATTATCGGAATCAAAAGGAGTTTCAAAGAAAATTATCAATTCTCAATTCTCAATTCTAGACTCAATTATATTCCATGTTGATTGTGATCTTACCTTTATATGTGTTCATCAATTTAAATGGTAGTAATTAATTGCTACACAACTAATTAGGAATCATTAGTTGTAAAGCCAAAAGTTTTACGGATTTGCGATTATTCATCAAATAATTAATGTATAAGAATAATTAACGATAATAATTTATATTATATACTCTTCTTTAAAAGTAAATCATAATAATATTACAAAATAATTAATAGTTCAAAGAGATAGATAAGTTAATATAATAGTAGTAATTATAATTATTAATTTATAAAAGTAATAGTATTGTAATTAATTTGAATTAGTTATCAAAAGGTGACATTTTCAACAGGTAAACAATCATGTGTGATATGAGTTCATATTTTACAAATACATCGGCTTATGGTCCAGCTTCAAATGGACATGATAGTTATGCAAGTGAAGCTCATCATCATCACTCACTCTCTCAGTGTCATGAAAATGGACGAGTACCTGGACCAGGGGAGGAGGAGGTGGTGGTGGTGGAGGAACTGGACATTATGCTAACTATCAGCAAATGCAATATTCACCTGGTTTAACATCATCTTCATCAACTTCATCATCACAACATCAACAACAACCTCCACCACCTCATCCACGTTTTCCTCCTTTCGATCGGTTAACACTCAGGGAATTGGAAGCGACCAATTCTCATGAAGTTAAGTAAGTAATCATGATAATTGATATGGAAAAATATTCACTTATTAAGTTAATCACTTTAATTGTTACCTTCAATTTGATGAAAAAGTGAAAATCAATTGATTCAAATGTTAACCAATCGATGGCAGCACATTGAGAACAGTAAATTTCATTCAATTGTTGAATTAAATTGCTTTTTAAATGCCAATTAAAAAAGCATGATCACAATTAATTGATCACCTTTAATGATTTTCATATTAAAACAAAACCTTAACAATTGAAATTCAAAAGAAATCAATTCAAAGAATCAATTGAAAACTCATCAAGTGACAATTAACCTTTCAAATGAAAATCAATTACTTTAAATCAATTTAAAGGTTAATGATGATATCAGATTATAACAAAGATAATCACTTGATGATTACAATCAGTTACTAGGAATGATTGTTGATTAATTTCTTAATGATTGGGAAAAAAAATGTTGATAATGATTAAAACTTGGCAACGATTAGATTTTAAAATGAGAGATTCAATTGTAGTTAAAAATCAACTCTAATTGGGACAATTTAACTTATCACTTAGAATCCTTATTGGTTTTGCCTGAAGCTATGGAAAAGAGTTTACTGTTAAGAGAGTGAGTATCATTGTCCAGTTGAGAAAGACAAAAGCTAAAGGGCTTGACCTCTTCATCCTTTTTGTTGACTTTTGACTTTTCAATCCTCTTTAACCTCTAACGGAACTGATTATCCTTTTGTTTATTATCCTTGGAAAAGTTTTCTAAACAAAATTGTTACTCGAAATTGTCTAACTTTTGAAGCTTTTCTTTCTGCTCGTTGATTATGAAAGACTGGACATTGGTCAGTTTGAGGCATAAACAGAGGGAAAAGGGTAACTTGAAACTCGAAGGGCAATAAAAGTGACCAGGTTCATTGCAGAAATGCAAGAGAGCAGAAAGTAAAACATTAGCACGTTAAAAAGTAAACAAATGATTCGCCTTGTTGAGCAATAAGCGAATTGCAAAATGATGTTAATTGTGTTGATGATAAGATTTAGTGAGTAGCATTTAGATTGCATTTAATAACAATCAACATTTGGGTTACTTAACCAGAAAAAGAGCAGATAACTTTTTAAACCAAAGTTAATTGCTCAAAATCTAGTTAATTGATTATATTCACTTAGTTGTTTCCTTTTCCTTTAATTGATTAAATTGTTTGATTAGATTGACAATTTCTCTTGATAAGATTGTCTAATTTTGTGGACGTTGGAAAGGAAAAGGTTTTCATTTGATCAGTTGAAATTCTGGTTACAACAATTAAACTTGATTATCCAAATTAGTTAATTATCGTTCCTTATTTTTTTTGATTGTTCTTTAATTGTTCCTCTAATATTTAACAGGTACGAACCTTCAACTATTCCATATTATGGTTGTTCAGGTAATGGTCCATCGGGTCCACCGCCACCTCATCCTGCTGGTCCTCCGCCTCAGGGAAATCATCAGACAACTGTATCTACAATACCACCACCCCAATTATCATCTCCACCACACCAACAACAATCAACTGTATCTCAAGCCCAACAGGCTCAACAACAACAACAATCAGCTCAATCGTTAACATCACTCTATGATTGTGGTGTTGGTGGAGGCGGTGGTGGCCCTAGTCGAGGTCACAGTTTAACACCTCCTCATGATCCAACAAATCAACAATATGTTAGCTGTAAAATTCAACAAATGGGTTATGGTCATCCTCATCCTAGAGATTTAATGACCGATCCACAGAGTCACATGTTACAGGTATCAGGTTCATCTCCGCCGCCGATGCCTGTCAATCAAAGTGGCAATCAAATGTATCCTGGTCCAGTAGAAAGTCCTGGTGAACCAAACTCAAGTTCATCAATGGGCAAAAATTATTTCCCTTGGATGAAAAGTCAATTTGGTGAGTCGTCACAATTTTTATCTTCATATTTACATAATCATTGATTTGAACCAGAAAAACTTTTCTCAACATTTGAAAAACTTTCGTACTTTTCAATCCTCGTGTCTCCATCTATCATCAGTCGAAGTAAACTTTGTACTTTATACTTTTAAAAGTTCATGTGAATTTCCGATCACTTGATTGAAGAACTAATTTGCTTTTCATTAATCAACAATTAAGAAAAATTTACTTAATAGCTAAGTGTTTGTGGGACAATTAGCTGGATTAAAACTTTGCTCGACTTTAAATTCATTAGTTGTTTCAATTTGCTTTCTGAATCAATTTCCACTCTCAACAACAATTAGAAATTCATTAGCTCATAAACAGGACTTTAATTGCTCTCATCCTCAATCCTAATTAAGAAAGGATTAACATCTAAATTATGCATCATATTGATTATTGAGAAATTATTTTGAAATTGATTTTAAAGTAACTTTAGATCAACTTTTAGTCCATAGATCGCAGCACATTCCTGGTTAAATTTTCTATCAATTTGATTTAATATCACAATTAGAATATTGTTTTTCTTCAATTCCTTCATCATAAGAACTGAATTATAACACCATGAATTCATAGATCAAATTAAAGATGCAATTAACTGATATCAGTCCATTAGAATGTCAAATGATCAAAAATTGTCCAATTTCCATCACATAGATGGCGCTGTTTGTAAAAAGTTTCTCAATGAAATTGGATCATAATTAAAGCTCCGAATTAAATTAATATTGAATTATAGATGATGATCCGAGGTAATTTAGATGTAGAATACATTGAAAAGACAATAATGATGATGAGGACGAAGAAAATCAATAGAAAGATGAATGATGTTTTTGTTGAATGAACTTTTTTTTCATCTTTTGGGGAAAAAAAAGTTGAGCGTTGATACTTTACAATTGGACAAATGATTAGAGCAATTAGTTGATTATAATGAATATAATGTAGAAACTATTGTGGTTAGAAGTGATTGTTTAATGATAAAGTGCCAGTGAGCATCTTCCCGGTTGATAAAATAATAATATTATTAGATAATAATATTTATCATTTTAATAAATTATAATCATTATTTCAGTTGAATGGTGTTTTTGTCCTTGTTGATTAATGATAATAACTTTTTCTCATCCTCATCCCATTTATTTTCATCTTTTCCTATGGAAGTGGAAATGAAAAGAGATACATTTTCATCATATTTTAACCAACTGAGAGATTGAGATAAAAGGGGAAAGAGTAAATGTGGTTTGGGTGGGGTGATTGTTGGAATAGACTGAGAATCCAACTGAGTTTCTTGTTTCATGATGAGCTCAGTGGAAAACTCTTGTCAATGGATAAGAGGTCCACTTACAAGATTATCAAGATTGAGATGATAATGATTATTATGATGTTGGGTGATTATTATCATTATGATGATAGAAGTAAAGTGATCATGATTATCTTCATGATGATCATCTCTTTCAAGTCAATTTCATATAAATCATTTTCTTCAGATTCTCATGTGTGTTTGTGTACACCATGAGCCCCATGTTTATAGTGTAAATAAACAAAAGTGTAAATTTATATATCAGAAAATGATGATAATTATGATGATATCGTTAATCATTGAGATGAGAAAATGCTAATCAACAATTTTTTCCCTTCTTTCGTTTTCATCTTCTCACTGATAACTAGTTGTAATTTAGAATCATTCATTTTCATCTAGCACTCGAAAAAAATAGAGAAAAGGTTCAATTTCCGTTTTCTTCTCTCTCTCTCTCACTCTCTCACTCTTTTATCTTTATCTTTATCTTCATCTTTCCAATGTAATAATCGTCCTGATAATCATTATTTATTCACCAAGATGATACTTCTCTTACCTTTCTTATCCCAGAGTTTTATCAAATGCTACAATCAGATTAGTTGAGAGCTTCTGTTCAGTTTGAAAAGCTCAAAGTCTTTGGATAATAATGATAATATAGAGCAAGAAAATTCCAAGAGTATGAAAAATACAGAGAAAGAGAGAGAGAGAAAAGTAAGATGAAGATGAGGATGGAGAGAGGATGAAAGAAGGAGGAAAAACAAAGTTTATCAGATTTTAGTCCTATCTTTGATATTAAATATGTATAATATCATCCATAAGTTATCATCTTCATCATCATCATAATCATCTTCTGTTTCTAATTATTTTTATCTTCCTTTGCCACTCTCTCACTCACTCATTCACTCATTGAATTAAGCATCAAATTAAGTGCTGCTGTTGCTTTAATTGAAAAAAAAATCTCACTGAAAAAAGCAAAAGCTTATTAATAATGATGAAGGATAAATCCAATTCCAATCATGATAATGATATTTTCCTGACCAAACCTTAATTTCTGGTACCTTTTTTACACCTTAAATGTATTATCATTATCATTACTTTATTATCTTATTAAACTTTACTTTTCTTGTTAGATTTCAATCAAAATTATCAAATTAATGAAAGAGGGATCATCAATGGGGTGGGTATGTATAGTCCTTATAGTATTGATGAAATTCATTATGAGAGTTAAATTGTTACACAATTAAAATTGTTAATTGATAATTGTTGGTAATTTACAATAATTTGGTTTACCTGGGTGATAGATTAGTTTTATCATGATGGTTTCCCTGATATTATCATGTTGATGGCGTGGATCACCTGATGATGATGATGATGGGAAATGATAAGAAGCCAAACCATGTAATGATATTTAATTGGAATTACTTTTTACCATGTAGACCATTTATCATGTTCATTGATGATAATTATTGAACCAGATCACATGGTGATGGTGATAATGATAACAGATTGATGATGTTTTCAGGCAAAAAGATAATTGAATTTACTGAATGAATGTATTAAATCAAATAAGGTGGATAATTAAATTTGACACAGAAATGGGTTGGCTCATGAACCAGGGGAAATGGGATAATTCATGATTCCAAAGGTTATTTATCCTCATTAATCAACCCTTAGATAATAATGATAATTAACCAAACAATTGACCGATTTAATTTGAATTCAATTGTTTGAATTGAATTTTTATTTTTATTTTTTGTTTTGTTTTATTTTGTTTTCAACTGTTTTCATGAAATTCATTGATTGAAATGGAATCACTATCATGATGGTTATTATTATTACTACTAATTGAATGTTAATTATCAATTAAATTCAATGGACCAGATAAATTTTTGATCAAATTAACAATGAAAAAGTAAAACACTCTGTTAATATTGTTATTGGTAAATCAACAATTTACCTATCAATTGTTAATACAGTTGGAGAAATGAACTAAATTCATTGTATCAACAATCAACTTTCGTGGCTCATTATTTGTCCAATTTCCCATGAAACCAGTTCCAAATGAGTAGCCATTAACCCAACATGATAAGAGTTACAATATAATACTAAAGACTAATAATAATAATAGAAACTAATGATGATAATAATAATCATGATGATAATGATTCTGATAACACTTGAAACGAAAACAAAAGACTGAATTGGAATGAAAGTTGGAATAGAAAAATTTAAATTCGAAAGAGAAAAAAAAATCAATCCAACTTTTAGAATTTGAATAATCAAAATATATACATGATAATGAACATGGAATTTTTAATAAATGAGAATCGGGAGATTGGAGGGTGAAGTATACATGATATGAGATTCGGTGAAAAGGGAAAAGAGAATGAAAAATTTTTCTATTGTAAAGTTTTTGAAAAATATTCCAAAGTTGTAATGAGTTCTATATATGTATTATGGAAGATGAATATTCGGTTATTTTTTTTTCTTTGTATAGAAAAAGTTCATTTTTGAGAAATGAATTTGCACCATGTTTATCTGGTTACTTTCAGACCAATAATTCAGGGAGATTATTCATTTCAAACTGTAAAAAGTTATTAATAATGAATGAAAATTTTTCATTCTCTTCTCACAAAACATTAACCTTATTGTTAACCATTAATTTCATGGTGAAAAATGTTGATTCTGTTTTTAATTCAGGAAGAAAAAAAAACTTTCTCTCTCCATTATCATGAGACTGAGAAATAAATTGTTATAATTCTGTGTTACAATTGATGATAATTCAGAATTAACCATATCTTCACTTGCTATTCTTAATTTCAACTTTCTCAGGTTTCAAAAAACTTTCTATCGTTTAGTTTTTACCATGAAATTTTTCACCCAAACAGAATTTACATTGCTAATGGAGCCTCAACATACCGATATCACTTTTCTCACCCTTTCCCCTTTCAGAATAATTGTTTACTGTTATTTTTTTTCAATTCGAGTTGATGCAACTTGAACCTCTCCCTCTCTCTCATTTTAGATCCAATTATCATTCATCCTCACTGAATTATGTTCATTCTGCTTCTGATTTGATGCATTTTCATGCAAACTCATGCATCTCCCATGAATCTTGATTCACCCTCGATCTTTCAATGCTTTGCCACTTCCATCATCATTATCATCATTACTTAATAGTCTCAAACCTCAAAAGGTTATCAAGTAAACTTTTCTCATTATCGTTTTCGATTGTTATTGTTCAGTTTGATATTCAGAACTTTTTTTGCTTCCCTCATTCTCGATGCTGGAAATTGAGTTATTTTAATATTTTTCTTTGTTGTTATTTTTTTCTTGCTTCTCAATGGATTGAATTTTCATGAGCCTGAAGGGTGGAGAAGATTCTGCATGATGATAATATTGATGAGAATGAATTTTGCAATTTCCTTTCTCTTCACTTTTTGCATAGTTGAACATGAAATGTTCTGTGGAAAAACATTTTCTTCTGTTAATCAACTTGAGAATTGAGAATCTAAAGGATTGTAGATTAGATACTAAGCTTGGAACTTTTTTTTTCGCTTTCTCATGTTATATTTTCTCTCCTTTAATATCTAATTATTATTATTACCAAAAAATTATGCTAATTACAAATATAATCAAAGTTATAATGAGAAATTTTCAACAAAGAGGC